AGAGCAAAGGGTCACCCTTGAACTCACTGCCCTCACTGGGCACTTGCCAGCACGGAACAGGCTGCTCGTTTATTCTGCCTCCTGAGCTCACCCACAACATCACAGGCTCTAGGAGGACAAGGACAGGGGAGTGGGCGGGGACCGGGATGCCTCTGCCAGCAGCTAGGGCCACCAGTTGATGGCCTAACTCCCAGCCAAGCACAAACCAGGCACAGACTTTGGAAAGTGTCCTGACCAGAGCGGGGCCGGGCCTGAGACTGCGTGCAGCCTGGGCTTCTGTAACTGCGGCTGGGAAAATGGCTCAAAGACAACTTAAGCAATAAGCTAGGGAGATCAAAGTCACATGGCCAGGTGGTGACAAAGTTAAGGAAGAATGACCATCTCCCTTCCCACTCGCTGATTCTCAACTACTGGTCCGGTCRCATTTTTCTTTTCAGGCCAGACACTGACATTAGTTTACAGCCAGAGCCCAGTTTCCACCCCAAGAGGGGCGGTGCACAAAGGAGGGGCAGAAGCCCTAAGTGGCCAGGGTAAGCAGTCAGGAGTGAGCCTGAACTCTAGCGAGCAGGGCTGAGTGACCTTGAGCAAATGACTTAACACATCTGAGCTCCAGTTTCCTCAGCCTTACAATAGGAACAAATCAGCACAGGATAAGCCTCCCTCCACAGAGCCTGGAGCTATCAAAAAGAAGAATGTGCCATTGAAGGGACCCCCCTCCCCCCCATCCTAAATACATTAACATTTGACTAGCCTCTGGAAGCTTTTAGCACCCCCTGCCCACACTCAAAGTCTGCGTTCCACAACAAATGTCATTGCCACAGGCATCTAGTTTAAAGGGCCCAAGCCATCTCCCAGGCTCTCGGAGGAGAAGGGCTAATTAACCTGCCTGGGATGGAAAGGCTGCCCTGGCCACAGCACTGGGACCCAGGCCAAGGGGCTCCTCTGCACCTTGTTCCCTCCTCCCATGGAGGGCCCAACTCTCCACGTAGCATGATTCAAACTCAGGTGTTCAGAAAAGGTAAAAGACGCTCGCCATTTCTAAGGACTACCCCAGTCACCAAGCCACCCTTCTGGCAGGCACAGAGCTTCTACCTGGGCTGGAGACGGCTGCTGGGCAGCTGTGTGGCCATCAGAAGCTCCAGGAAATGGAGTAATCAGGATTGCTGCCAGCGGCTGCCTGGGTGAAGTTTTTAAAGTAAAAGAAGCCTTAAGACACCTTCTAGGTTTACGCTCCCTTTCACCCATTAACACCCTCCTGGTGGGAGTCTCACTGCTCCAGCAGAGGAAACCCAACAGGGGTGCCTCTGCACACCCCAGTGCAGGATCCCCAGGCCACAGTCCAACAGAACAGAGCCTAAGACGCAGCAGCAAAAACGGGGGACCCAAACGAAGAGGCAAAACTTGCCAGGAATCACTAAAGGAGGTACAAGCCAGATATAAAGACAGGTAGTCAGGGTAGCTAGTTAAATCGGGTCTGATGGAGAAAATAGAGTCCGATTTGAGCCCGGATTGGAAACAGCCCCTGGGAGACTGGAATGATCCTCAAGTCTCCAGAGCCCTTAGATACTCCCCCTCCCAGAAAGGTTGTAAATGGAGCAACTCCAGAGCAGACAGGGAGCTGCTAACCAACGCCCCTGGGCTGATGCTCCCTTCCAGCCAACAACTCCACCTAGGCCCTTCCAGCCCACCTGCACCTGCACACACCCCCACCCCCTGCCATGCCATCCACATGCCCCAGTCACTCTGCAGGATGAGGGGAAATAAACAAGGGAGAAGAATGGAGAACAAGGAAAACTTTCTCATATAGAAGCGACAGGACTTCCTCATCCCACAGATTCCATCTTTGGGTCTGTCCCCTTCTTCCACCCGGGAGACGTCTGTTTTACTCTCCTTTAATCAAGTTTCTTACTTTCTACTCTAGGCTTGGTGTGCTTCTCTGGTGTTATACTTCAACATTTGAGGAAGCAGGACTCGTCAAGGTAACCGGTAACCTGCGATATCAAATCACACCAAAGTGACCTGCAAGCTGTATCCCGGACATTTACAGTCAGCAGCTCAAACATGATAGGTGGCCTTACTGTGTGCAAGGCAGGGTGACAAGGGTTGAGTGCCTTAGGGAAAAGATGTCAGGCTTGGATGTCAAAAACTCAGGTTCCCTATGTCAAAATGCATTATACTGTAAAATTAATTAAAAAAAAAAAAACTCAGGTTCCTATCCTGGCCCAAATGGGGTCCACCCATTATCTTAAGTGCCTCTTAGTAGCTGGGCCACGGTCTCCTCACCTGTGAAAGAACTCACAGGTGGCTGTAAGGGTCAAATGTGATAGATATCAAGGATCAGCATACAGAAATCTTCACCTCTCTTCACTGAGCACACACTCATGCCTAAGCTTAGGCATGGAAATCTTCCTCCCTGTTGTATTTCAAAGTTTGGAAGTTCAAGCAATTCACCCCGATCGGTTTTAATTCCTTGGACTGGTTTAAAGACTAAGCAGTGCTTCCCGCAATTTAATTTGTAAATGAATCCCCTGGGGTTCCGGTTAAAATGTAGATTTGGGTTGAAGCAGGTGAGGGTGGGGCTGAGGAGTTTGCATTTTTAAGAGCTCCTGGTGAGGCTGAGATCTGGGACCTCAACTTTGGAGCAGAAAAGTTCTATGGAATTCAGCTAGAAATGAACCCAAGACAAATCTAATTTCATTGGCAAATGACATCCAGGTAAAGCAGTATACAGAAGCACACAGGCTGGCTTCTGAAAGGGARCTCACTGGGAAGGGAGGGGAGGGAAGGGAAGGGAAGGGAAGCCCCGAAAACAGGCCCCACCTGTGCCTTATTCAAATAAGTTTGTACTTTAAACCAGGTGAAAGTACACTTCAGAAATCATAAAAGCAGTATACTTCAGACAATGGTCTGAAAAACAGTACATGTCCTAGGATATGCCACATTTGACCCCATTCCTCAGCCAAGTTGGGCTGGCTTAAAAGGCCTCTTCTCAAATTAATTTTCCCTACCTCCTCCCTTGCTGGCACATCAAATTTGATACTGTTTCTGTTGACAGTTGTCATTTTAAAAGTGCCTATCAAGTTGCCAGATGTGGACTATTCAGATATAGTAAGATGAACATGATTGACAGGTAAGGATGCATCTTAATACTAACTCATCTTAATGTGTTGAAGTGCGAGGGATCAAGAAAAACATCCTAAGGGTTCACAGAGATGGGATTAAAGAGTAAATTGTGGATGTTCTTTGGCTCAGAAATAACAACCCAAGATAATCCATATCCCCTGAAATTAGCTGCTTAGAGAAAGAGCAAGAGGTAATCCGATCTCCAGCTGTTTGCAGCACAGGGAACACATCTGTCTACCAGGTGACACAGGCCAGCCCTTGCACACTGGCTTAAAATAACACGTATGTTTATTATAATTCCTGTCATGACCCACTGACTGCTGGGTTTGGGCTCAAACTCCAGAATTATGAGCCGGTGTGCAATGTCAAGCAGTAATACAGGGCTACCCAGAAACTGCTGAGTGTGCACTACTTGCCCAGAAAGGGATTCCCCTCCCACACACTCACCCGCTACTGGGGAGATGCATGCTCTAACAAGAAATGCCAGAAGCAGACTGTCACCTGTGCCCAGTGTCATTAATTCATCCATGCAATCACAAGGTTGCTTCCCAGACTCCACACCCCTGGCCCTTGAGCCTACAGGCACTTGAACTGCAATCTACACATTAGCACCGGCCTGATTTCATCCACCGCCAAGAGTCAACTTTGGATGAGCCGGCTTGTTCTTTGACTTTTTTTTTTTTTTTTAAAAGAGAGAGAGAGAGAGGAGAGAGAGAGAGAGAGAATTTTTTTTTAATATTTATTTTTTAGTTCTCGGCGGACACAACATCTTTGTTGGTATGTGGTGCTGAGGATCGAACCCGGGCCGCACGCATGCCAGGCGAGCGCGCTACCGCTTGAGCCACATCCCTTTTCCAGCAGGCTACCTTCTTATTTGGGCTAAAGCAAAACAGGCGCATTACAGGAGACAGGCTGTAATAGAGAATGTTCTTCCAGCTCATCTTGATGCCTTCAGAATCTTGGCAAGGGTCTACCCCTGAAGGGTAAACTGAGGCTAAATCAACTGCTAAATCAACCGAACCCAGGTGGAGTCTATGATGTAACTTACTTCACAGTAGATTGACTTAAGATCAGAGCCTCCCAGGGAATAGGCATAAATCTCGCCAGTTGCTCCCCACTCCCGCTGCTCCCCAAACTCCAAATCCCACACAAATCTAACAGACGGTCCCTTGCATATGGTAATAAGCTCCTGCCATTTCCTGAATAAGTAAATAAGAAACATTTCGTGGTTTTGCTAGTTTGCCTGCAGGTAAAATAAGCTCTTAACTAACTCAAGCAAATTCATCCTGGAATGGGGTACGGGGGCTCAAGGGAATGTAAAGACTTCCCACTTCTTAGGAAAGCAAAAAGAAAACGCCAAGTTTCCTCCTACCACAGCAACACTGAACTCAGGAACTTTGGAAGGTTCTCGCGTGTCTGCTACTAGTTCAGGCTCCCGCGCGCCGCCCAGCCGCGAGCCCCACCCACCGCACCACGCTGCGACCGCCGGCTGCCAGCCCAGCTGGAGGATCGCACCTCCGGGTCTGAACCGGGTTCCAGGAAGTCAGGATCTCCTAGTRCTGTGAGGTTCGGGAGCCCCTTTTTAATGGGTTCCTGCAACTCCCAACTCCCGTGCCGTGACATTAGCAGGGTGCTCCTGCTCTGCAAGTGCCAGGTTCACAAACACACGTGTGACCACACACCCCCTGGACTCTCTTCCTCTTTCGCGTGCCCCAAATGGTTTGGAATTCGGGCCAGAAGCCCTGGATCCAAATGGACGCGGGAACGTGGGAGCTACCAGTGCGTGCAGTACAGTCTAGAGACTACCCGGAGGCAGGGCGTGCCGGGGGGTGGACAGCGACGCAGAGCAGGGCGCGTGTAGCGTCCAGGGTACTCACCGAGACCTCTGCAGCTGCTCATAGACGCTGGTGCTGCCGCTCTGACCCGACTGCTCCAGGGAGCAGTAGTTTTGTGAGATCTGCCTGGAGAAGGCGATGGGCAGGATTCCCTGAGTGAACGAGTTGAGACGGCCCCGACTGCCGCTCCCACTCCCGGGGGTCCCGGAGCTCAAGAAAGCGGCTGCCGGCACCTGCACGGTGGTRAAGGCATCGTCCTCCTCCAACTCCTCCTGCTCGGCACTCCCGGGCCCATCCAGCAGCTGCAGTTGAGAACAGGTGGCTAGAGGCGCCGACCGGGACGTTTGCAAAAGCTCCCCCGACGTCCGGCCCGCGCCCAGAGGGCTAGCGAGCGCCCGCGACGCTCCGGGGCCAGGCAGGGTCGTGTGGCCGCCCGGAGCCAGGGGCGGCAGCAGCGAAGGCTGCAGTGGGAAGGGGCTAGACCCAGTAGCCAACGCCGCAGCCGCTGTGCCCGGTGCGGCGAGCGCGCTGCAGCCGGCGGCCAGTAGGCTGAGCCGAGTCCTAGCGCCGTAAGCGCTGCCCGCTCCGGGCTTAGCTGCTCCGCTCTCCTCGCCGCCGCCCCACTCCTCCTCCTGCAGCGGCGGCCGTCCGTCCAGCGAGATGTTGGTGAGGAAGGAGAGGGCAGCCTGGCGGCGCCGTGGGTCCATGCGCGGCTTCCGGGGGGGTTCGGGCGGCCGCTGGGCCGGTGCGGCGGCCGCGGACTGGGGCTGCGGCAGCGGCGGCTGCAACCCGCTGGTGCCCGCGGCGTCGGTGCCGCCACTGCCGCCGCTGCCGCCGCTACTGCAGGCGGCTGTGCCGGCGGTGGCTGTCGCCGCCGCCATTGTGTCCGTCTGCGGCGTTAGTTCCGCGATGCCCGGAGAAGCGAGCGGCGCCGAATGCTAAGCGGCTGGCGGGAGCCGCGGCGACCCGGGCTGGGTAGGGCGCGGGGCGCAGGCGGCGTGCGCGGCGGCCCAGCCCCCCCGCGGGCGGGCCATGCTCGCCCCTTGGTGCTCGGGCGGGGGGCGCCGCCGACCCACAGGCGCGCCTCCCTCACTCGTGCTGGTGCGGCGGCGGCGGTTGCTGCTGCTGCTGCTGCTGCTGCTGCTGCTGGCTCGCTGGCTGTCCGCCCGTCCGCGGGTCGCCTGGCTGGTCCGGCTCCCGGGCCCGGTGTTCGTATTTATAGGTGCGCGCGCCCCGCGCTCACGCTCCGAAGCAATAACACAGTATCACGTGTGGGGAATGAAACCTGGGAAGAAAACAAAGCCGCAGGCGGCGGCCGCTGAGGCAGGCGGCGGTAGGCTAAGGGGCCAGAGGAGGAGGAGGAAGAGGAGGAAGGGAGAGCTGGCGCGTGGCGGGGCTGTGCAGGTCGTCCCAGCTGCCTGCTGGGAGAGTTGGTGGCTCCCGGGGCGCGCAGAAGCCAGGTGCGGGAGGCGAGCACGTTACCCCGGCACGCTAGCTCTGAGAATTGGGGGTGCAAACAGAACCTGTGAGTCACAGCGTGGGGATGTGCTCCAGGGAGACTTATGATTCTGCAGGAGAGTTATTTGGAGCGACACAGAGATTTGGACAATTTAACTGGACCCTGCCTTACTGTTGGACCCGATCAATAATTCTTATTAATAGTTATACCCGTAGGTCCGCAGCCCCACCTGAAAGCGTAGCTAACCACTGAGGTGTCTCTTATTCATCCGCRGGCCAGGGGAGCGACCCCAAGATGAAGATATGCACTGAGGAGCACGCACATTTTCCGTGTGATCGAACTGATTTACACCCCCGCCCCCCTATTTCATACTGCTGGAACTTTTCATCTCCCTGAGTAAAGACTAACATAAATTTTCACTTTGGCCCTAAAATGTGATTGGTTTTCTATAGAGACTGAGACGGGCTAAAACAGTCTCCTTTCTCCTTGTCGCCTTGCAAATGTTTGAGGATTATGATCTTTTCCACCCCCATAAGCCAGGACCAATATGGATGGCTACTCTGGCACTTATTTCATAAACATCCGTTTGACGCCTATCTTGTCTTCTTGAGATGTGGGTTATTTGCCAAGGACGCTATGACCCTTCCAGAGGGGCGGCTCCTAATCTAGGAGGTGTCGCAGCCCCAACCCCAACTCCAACCAGTGAGGATGGGGGTGGAGCCATCGCCTGAAGCAATCAAAAATCGTGGGGGGGATTTCTATAGGCAGTTTGAGTGACCTCCYAAATGCAGTAAAGAACAACTGTCACACTGAATTAAACTCTGGGACACCTAAAAAACTTGCTTCACTTCTCTGAGGGAGAAGCAATGTGCTTAAGATCAACAGATTAATTTAATTAAAGGTTTAAATTTAGCCCTGGAGCTAATGGGTAACTCTACATTGAAATTCCACTCCATTTCAAGTTCAGGAAAGTAAATTAAGTAATGGAGAGCAAACACACTGTCCAGAGATGTGCAGCCAGCCTTGAGTAGGAGATAGGGTGTGTTTCAGGTTACATTTGCTCTGGGACACACAGGTCACATGGCTTTTTACATGAACATGAACAATTGTTCATATTTTCTGCCTTTTTAGGCCTTTTGAAAAAGTGGAGCTTGATGTCTATTTACTGCATTCATACAGCAGCTAAGTCAAAGCTTGGTGATCAACTTGGGGAAATTTCATCAGGATTTTAATTACTTTATTTACCTTGAAACATCCAAGTCTCTTTATTACAGTTGACTTAATTTACATAACTACTGGCCTGATTGTGCTAGCAGGCAGTATTTAATGAAGGACTTCAACTCTGCTCCTATAAAAGAAAGAACTTTCTATATTACAAAATGTTAAGCAGAGASGAACAAAAATCAACAATCTCATCCATTAAAATACCTTAATATTTTGACTTGTCTTGTGTATCTTTTTATTTTTTTATTATTAGTTGTTCAAAACATTACATAGCTCTTGACATATTTCATACATTTGATTCAAGTGGGTTATGAACTCCCATCCCCCCCGCCCCATACAGATTGCAGAATCACATCGGTTATACATCTACGTTTTTACATACTGCCATACTAGTGTCTGTTGTATTCTGCTGACTTTCCTATCCTCTTGTATCTTTTTTAAACAAAATCAAAATCAGGCTGTTTGTATCATGTGGGTTTTGCTCCTGGTCCTCATCATCTTTCCATTTAGAATATTCTCCTAGAGCATTGCTTTAATGGCTACACAGTATTCAGTTTGAGGAGAAACTATAAGTTATAAACCTGTGCATTTAATAAGTTGGTATTTCTACTTTTGCTATTATGAAGAGAGTGATGATGAGAAATGATAAGTCTTGCTACCATGCAATAGTATTTTCTTAAGTTAAATAGTTGCTGGGGCCAGTCACTTATCATTTTAATCCAGAAAACTGCTTCCTYGAATTCTTGCTGGCTGTTAAAATTTTTCATTAATCTCCATTACTTTACCCACTTGATGTAACTCTTTTTTAAGTGTTAAGTATGCAAACTAATTTCAAATATTTATTAAAGCATTAAATAAGAATCAATGTCTGTTTTACCTCAGGCCTCTATGATCCCTTATGAAGTACATAAAAGTTGTGATTTATTGTCTTATGACCACCCTGTGATGATGGAGAGAGCATTATCATTAATATTTTAAAGAGAAGGCTAAAAAAAAAAAAAAAAAAATGAATAATTTGCCCCTGGTCAAGTAGACCAGAGTGGCTGGGCCAGCATACAAACCGGACCCATTCCAAGACCCTTTTACATTCTTGCGCCCTCTGCTGGTAAGGATGTTCTGCAGGAAGGAGCAGTCTCTAGACGTCATTGTATAGTCAGCCTTAGGAAGCAACAATAATGGAAATAATACAAGCTTTAAGGTAAGAGGGTCTGGGTTTTGAGAGTCACTTAATCTCATTGAGTTTCCTCTCTGGGTTACTGTGAGAAAAAAAAATGAGACTACATGARGAATGTTTTGTAAACCTTACTTTAAAAATGTCACTTGTTATTTCTACTATCCTAATCTGCTTAGTCCCTGAATTATCCCAAATTCATTTATTTTCCAACTATTAATTAGTCAATCAAGTATTATTGAGCTATTCCTATGATTACAGTACCATCTGTGACAAAGGGATAAAAGAAGGGTGGCCTTAAGCCCTGGTACCTTTGATAGCTGAAATAGTAGAAAACAAAAGCTCAGGACACATTTAAAGGAAAGTACAAAGTCAACTCTGATTAAAGTGTCAAGTGAGCAGTATGTTATCAGAATATGGAAAAGGAGCTTTTAATTTGAGCTGATACCTGTAGGGGAGGGTGTTAAACAAAAGCCAGGATTTGAGCTGACCTGGGAGATAAAAGAGGCAAGAAGAGGCAGTTAGCTAGAGTTTAGATTGTTCCACAAAGGCCCATGGAGTATCAAAATATTGCTCTTCAGGGAGGCACCATTGGGAGGTAGTAGACCTTTTATGAGGTGCAGCCTAGTGGGAGGAAATTAGGTCATTGGGGACATGTCCCTGAAGAAGAATACGGGTCCCTCCCTGGTCCCTTCCTTTTTCTCTTTCTTTCTTTCTTTCTGTACTGGGCATGAACCCAAGGGCATCATGCATGTGCATGCTAGGAAAATGCTGAATCTCTAAGCTATACCCCAACCCTGTCCTTTCTCTTATTGTCTTTCCAGCCATGAGGTGAGCAGTTTTGCCCTACCTCATGCTCCCACCATGATATCCTTCCTTACCCCGGCCCAAAAGCAATGGAGCCAACCAATCATGGATGGAAATCTATAAAACTATGAGCCAATGTAAACCTATTCTCTTTATAAATTGATGTCTTAGGTATTTATTATAGTGACTGAAAGCTAACACAAACTTTGCATACAAATTCCCTGAGTAATATAGGTATGGAGAACTAGAACTTGAAATATAATTCTTTACTGCCAAGTCCCCTTCACTTTCATATTGCTCCTTTCAAGTTTTCAGTCCCAATCTGAAAACATACTTTGCATGCATGAACTCAAAAATGCAAGAACTGTTTAGATTGGCGTATGCAGGGCTAGGGGTCCTTTGGGGGAGAAAAAAGAAGAAAGAAACTGCAAGTAATCAGTAACCCTTAAATAATTCAGTAACCAAAATGTCTGAAAATTTCCTTATAGATGGTAGTGGACAACCCTCATATGTTTTTGATATAGTGGAAAATAAGGTTTTAGATTCAGGCAAACCCTGGTTCCAGGGCCAACATAGACCCTTACCAGCATGTGACCTTGCTCCAACCTGGGCGAATTATAAGTTTTATGTGTTGGTAGCTTTATCTGTAAATGTAGGTTTAGCAATATTTTACCTTGAAGAATTATGAAGATTACTGATAATATAAATTATGTAATTAGCACCAGAGTATCTGGCATTAACTGGGTAGCTATTAGAAAAATGTAAAATACAGAAGGTGCACCTTAAGAACAGCAGGATGTTTTAGGTTCTAGGTTTCTGTAGTTTTCACTGGTGCCAGCAGACAGACAAGACCATGAGAAACTCTAGCTGTCAGCTCCAGTTCAGATCGGATTATTTTACTGTGTGTTCCACCAAAGTGCAGACTGCTACCCACTACTAAACCATACAACAGACTCTTAAATCTAAAATATAGGCCTGGTGCCCCAAGAAACCTGCTGCTTTCCTCAATCCAGTAAAAGAGGCTGAGACTAGAAACAAGGACTGTCCAAGAGATGGGCCTCAATGTTCCTGCTTTTCTAGAAGTTTACCTGCCCTATGGGGAATTAGGATCACTTCTGTTGCCCTGGGAGAATGGGGAGGTGGAAGAGGATGGGGGAAGGGCCATTATGTCCCCTTTTACAATTTAGCATAGATAACCTTTTTATCTATTTTTTTCTTGC